TGAGCAGCACTTGTGTTCCATGTCATATGTACCTACTAATACACATCATGAACACACACACACACACACACACACACACACACACACACACATACATACACACACACACACACACCTAGGAAAATCAGGAAAGGAAAGCTAAAACTGAAGATAAAAACATACATGAATGAATCCAGCTATATTTCTATACAATGAAATGACCTCACCAAAGAGAAGTATGAATCCAAGTACATTCTGAACACAGCATCTTTCTTAACTATGGTCCTTCAGGCAGTAGCAGGACAAATACATGCAAATAAATCTTGAAAGTTTTTACTAAGTTTGTTGTGATAATAAAAATCTATCAAGTCCAAAATTAACCTGTAAGAGTTATATGAATGGATCAGTTGGTAAATAAATTGAGAGAATCTGGGGGTCTCATCCTGAAAGAAGTGAGAAGGAAATAAATGGGGAAGATTTACAAAAAAAAAAAGCCAAGATTTAGGAGAACTGGAGGAACCTAAGTGTACCACTGTAAGAGCAGACAGACAACTGTATGATCCTCCCAAGAGACAAACAAAATGATAAAGTCAATGCAGCAAAATGATGATGGTGAGAAAAGATACATGTTGGTTCATTTTTGCAAAGTTTCTGTAAATGTGAAAATACTTCACTAAAAATAAGGCAGAAAAACATTTCTTTTACCTGTATATTTCTGAGCAATGGGACTAGCATGCTTAACTGGCAAAGACAAGCAGCACTCTCACCAAAGCCTATGATTTAAAAAAACAAAGACAGTGTTTCCCATTATTATTTATGTTGCACTGAAGGCCCCGGTGGGTAGAATTAGACAAGGGAAAACAACTGCAGGTATAGAGCTTGACCAGGAGGGAAACCATCATCATTGCAAACCACACAATTGCACAGCCCAGAAACAAATGAGTCTTTGTAAGACAGCTGAAGACCGAAGCAGAAATCATTGGGGTTTGACGGTAACAGCAAAACTCGAAAGCTTGACTTCTCCCTAAGGACTTGGCAAAAATCTGCTATTTCCTCTCATCCCTAGGCTTTAAGGCCAAATCACTACTTGAATGTTAGTTTGGCATCCTTAAAATAGCACAAGATTAATGATCTTGGGATCACCTAGGCCATCATCATAGCTAATCCTTAAACAGCATCAGCAATACATGAGCATTCACCCTTGAGTGATAGTCAGGAAATAAAGGTGGCCTACTGTAATATACCACATTTACCAGGATTACTGCAAGGCCAGCAGAGCTGAGCTGTTTTCAGCATTCTGTTAAAGGAAAAGAAGTTAATACACAAGTGATTTTTTTTTTGAAGTTGCCTTTTCTTATACAAAACAATCAAAATCTAGATGTCAACATTGCATGCTGAAATGGCCTCTGGAATAAAACAGGGGAGATCATGTACTTTGAAGGTAACAATACAAAATGGCAGTGAGCCCTGACATGGCAGAAAAATGCTCACAATATATCACCATTCCAGAGAGAAAACCACTGTAACCACACAGAAAAGGAGCTCACCGCCCCAACTCTAACTCATGAGTTAGGTGGGACCTAACCAGAGGCTACAACCTTACAATTTGGCTTATTTTTTTGAAACACAATTATTACTCATATAAATAAAAATGAATCATAGTTTTGAAGCCACTTAATTCTGTATTAAAGTGGGTGAATATACAGTCAAAACTGCTGGTGTGGTGGCATGTGTCTGTAATTCAGTCACTTGCAGTGCTAACACAGGAGTTGGGGTCAGCTTCTGCTACACAGGAGATCAAGGCCAGCCTGACTACATGGGATTGTCTCAAAAACAAAACTAAAATTAGGAAAAAAGAAATGGTCAATGTCAAGAACACCAACTAAGTCCCAAGTTCTTGGTGGCTTTAGTTACCAGACACCCAAGCCTTAAGAAACTCTCAAGTCCAGTTAATCTATATCCTCCTTTTAGCCAGTTTCCTCTCAACTGGGCCCACCTGTGTATACATAATCACCTGTCATTTTGGCCAATTTAGTCCACACAGAACTTTAAGCATGTTGCACTAATTTGCTGGATCATGTTAACTGATACCCATGAGCATGCCTAACAATCCACCCTACAACCTCGGATTTTTTTGTTTGTTTGGTTTTGGTTTTGGTTTTGGTTTTTGGAGACAGAGTTTCTCTGTGTAGTTTTGGTGCCTGTCCTGTAGACCAGGTTAGCCTCGAACTCACAGAGATCCACCTGGCTCTGCCTCATAAATTCTGGGATTAAAGGCGTGCGCGGCCACTGCCTGTCGGACATTTTTGTTTTTTTTTTTTTTTTTTTTTTTTTGGTTTTT